TCGTTGTTGTGTCTGAATAAACTTCCTTTGTTGATTCTACTTTTGTGAAATCAAACTTCAATCTTTAAGACAATTTGATGAAATAAATTCAAACCAACTTCCAGTCCTATTAAAGATATCAAAGATACAGATTTGTAAGCAACATTCCAAACAATTTACAAAGACTCAATAAAATGTTAACTGAATAACTTTTCCACAAGTGCTTGTGTCCTTAAATATTTCTATTATGATAAAAATGTGTAACTTCACACATCAGCAAGATTATATGGAGATCATTATCACAACAGCCTATAATAATCTCTCAAGAAAGCTAAGAGAATTGCTAGAAGCAGTATTGAGCGCAATATTCTAGATCTTCTTTCAACAAATATTGATTATCTAATTACCCTGTATATATTGATCATGTGCTTACATGTTTACAGGTATACAGAACTGACAGCATCCCTCTCAAATAAAAGCGTATCCTGCTTAGTAGACGCAGGGATTGAGTGATTTGGCAGACATTATCGCCTGTATTAGAACCATTCCGCTGTGCTAGCTTTTCCCCTATTACACTTGATCTTCCTTGAAAATCCATTGTCAAAAGAGCTCTTGATGAATAATTTACAGCTTCGGAGGGGATTTATTGGTTGTTTATTGCTGGTTTCCTTGACAACAGCTGGGTGTGTTCTACTCCTGCAGCTTGACAAGAGCCTGTAGACCCGGACTAGTCCATATCCCTCGCCTCCATTGCAGGTATATAGGGGACACCAAGTCTTCTATGTTTGAGTCTTTGTATCAGCTTAATTGACCCAACATGGTCTTCCTCTTTTGTTTAATGAACAACAATCGATTCTCTGTCTCATACTTGCATCATTGGAATTTTTTTCGTTGAATCGTTAAAAAAAAATCAATACTATACCAACTACTGCAGTAGCATCAAGAGCTAGCAAGCAGTATAATACAAACTGAAAATTCCACCACATTGGCATATTCTTCTTGTAATCAAAACTAGGACATGAGGGGCTTAACTCTATCGACAATCTATATGTGAAGATATGGAGTAATGGGTTAGGTCTCTCAAGCTTCATTAATTCTGACAAGTCCAAGAATATGTTAACACACAATAATATTATATATGTTACAGAAGTTATGCCTGAAAATTAATTTTTTTTTAATTAAGCTGGTTGGTTACAGAGCATGTTGTTTAGAGCTATGTATTCTGAAACGTAATTGCTCTTTGAGTGTAATATTCGTGAAAATTGGCACTGCAATTTTTTTTGTTTATATAACCTGTCTTCATTTTATCAAGATATTGAAAGAGTACCGAAGAAGTGCAGTTCCAGACATGAGAATCCTTTTAATAAGTAATGATAATCTTTGACTGATGGCAGTGTATTAGAAACAAAATGTTAGGTAACAATGCCCTAGTATAATACCTACAGCCATATTTACCTAGGTATGGTAAATATTTCATGTAGATCAGCATCAGTCCGCCCCAGCTCTCAAATACACTCATCATTCTCCAGAGGTACAAGTACCCAAGGGACGAACAAGTACCCCACAATTGTTTGCTGATGTGTCTCGCATCATGTCAGCACCACCCAAACTTCATGGACCGATAGTTATGAATAATTCCTTTTCTCCACTGCATCGCAAATGCGTCATCTACCTTGGAGCTTATAATTTCAGATTATTTTCCATTTGTTTCCATACTTTTAAACTGATATTTTTCGTGTTAGTATTCTTTCAGGAAAAGACCCATTTGTAAAACTTTGATCTCTCACTGACCTAATTCTCAAACAGTACTGTCAATAATGAAAACTATAAACATCAAATTAGAATTTCAAATTGCAAATGCTGGAACTTATATTGATATACAGTGAAATTAATGATGTTTTAATTCCGAAAGTATGAGTCATATTTGAAGTGTGTTACAGTAACATTTGTTTAACCGTAGTCTTTATAAGGAGACTGATCCATATCTATATTATCACTTAAGCAACACCATCGCATGTAAACTATTAAACGTGTTAAAAGGAGAAAAATATTTAGATTTTTGAAAAACAAGATATCATTGAGAAGTTGAGATGTGTATGTTTGATATGCTGTGGAGCCTTCGTGTTTCTATCAGATAAAGTGTCACCAGTATTAGTTAGACTCAACAGTTACTGGTGCTACGCTCATATTAAATACTTTATTTACACCAGTCCGCAACTCAATGACATCTCTGGTACTCAGAGTTACAACACATGAGTCACTGTTGTTTTCACTCCTAGGCTGGGCATATCGAGAATCTCATTCCCTATCCTACAGGATCATTAAGTGGAATTCCAAGAATGATTTCCATATGTGTGACAAGGACCTACCTATATACTTGATCAAACAGAATTGAAGAAACACAAGATTTGTCACTTTCTGGTATCTAATGGAGGGTTACAGAACTGTTTCGAATGCTGCCATTTTTATCTAAAGACATCCCCTCTTTTAGATGTGATCATTGCTAGAATAGAGCCTAAATTGACAAAAGTAAACCTAGTATATGAAGCTTAGTGCAAAGTGTTAAATATTTATATCTTTTTCACTTTCTGGGGAGTTTTACACCCTAAACCACTACCCGAAATAATGAGAAAGAAGAAGATTTAATGAGTTAACATAGTGCTTTCTGCTATAACCTATACCAACCAATGCTGAAATGCACCAAAATCCTCTCAATTTTTACTGGTAGGCTCTTTATTATCACTGCTGCCGTTGAAGTGTGCTCATTTTGTAGCTGATTATCACCAGAAGTAGGAGGAAGATAAGGGCAAACATCAAAGCGACACTGCTAGTCTGGGGTTTGGAGATGGACAGATTTATAGACTAGAGAAAAACAAACCTGTACTGCCACATAGTGGTAAATCATGGCTTTAGGACCAGCATAACAAGCATGAAATCAAAAGTTCTCAACTGGGTCATTAGGTGTTGATGTAACGGAACCACACACATACTTTCTCCCCTCCCCAGAAAAAGAGTTCCCTTGATACCAACGAAGAGAAAATGTACGATCTTTTCATCCCCCTAGACGATGGTAAATTCCAATTTGGGTAACAAGCTAAGGAGTCAAACTTATATGTTTGTTACCTCCTAAGACAGGAGAGCTTTCTTTGTAGCATATTATGGAGGTGTTATCCTTTCAACCCATTCACCATGACAGAAGGATTTAGGTGTCAAAGCACTTAAATCTTCATGTAATGTCTCTTAGCAAGAGGGTTCGTCAAGAGTACAACAGAGGAAGTATACCTAGCTAAGGATTCTTACTCAATGATAGTGAACAGACAACAGATTACAATATACAACATCCAACATACATGAATGGTGACAGGTATATAAATTCCTTGAGATTTCTTGTTAGTTAAAAGCATGATATTGATCACACAAGTTCAACACTTTGATTATTTGTGTAACCTACATACATAGAAGTGACGTTATTAGATCAACCAGGTAAAAAATGTTTGGATAATGAGGGTCAAATTTAACATAATGCTATTAAGTGTTAATAAAGAAAAACATTCCTCTTAGAACAAATGCTATTTGCATTAATTTCCTTTTGATAGTATAATCAAAGGCACAATTAACTCTTGTACATAAACCAAGAAGTAAAATAAAAAATGACAGGTTATTTGGAAAATAGTCCTGTTAATATTCAAAATCTAACATCAATTCACAAGAAATATTTTTCTCATTTGAGGTCAAGGTCAAAGACTTCAGGGGTCAAGGTCAGGCATTTCTGAGTCTACAGAAAAGCTTACATTATACAAGTCTAACAAAGGAACCGAGGCCAAGGTCAGATATGACCAAAGGAAGGTGAGATTAGACCAGTGGGGACACATCTGCCAAGAATGAACAGTTTCTCAATTAAGAGTCCTTCAACAACACATTTCTGATCCTTTGATCCTGGTTTCATTAACACTGTAATTTCAAGTTCCCCATTAATTTTTTTAAAGAGAAAAACCTGTTTGGTGATTGATGAGTGCTGATTCCAGCTTAAGTTATGTTTTTGGATTCCAACAAAAACTATCTTGAACAACTCATAGAATTCTTTACATTTCTGCTCCTGAAATCAATAGTGTGTATGGAAATATGGATTTATCAAGAAATCAATTTCTTAATTTAGCAAAATAACATTGATCTGTACTCAGATCTTTAAAAATACTTTAAATAATAGAAAATATGTTCATGAATAATTCTACTCATCCCATTTCAAGGACAAATACCATATTGAAATTTGTGAGTTTCCATCCTCGACACAAACCAAATGAGGAAGCCTCCAGAGCTGTGCACCATTATAATATATTGCATGTAACTGCATTTTGTTCTGCAGCTATCCTTAATTGACTTAGCTTCTAAAACGAATGGTGAGTATTACATAATTAGCGCGGTCCTTGGATGCGGCGAAGGGGAAACATTTTACGGTAATGAGTTCGCCCATTGTTCAGATAATAAGGGCATGTGTAGCTCTAATTAAAATGTGGCAATTTTTCAAGTCGTTCCTTGTAACATACTTTTGCCTCATTCTCTGTAATTCTTGCGACAGGAAGCCGTCCCACCAGTAACACGAGTTGTAACAAGCCACAATTCTAATAAAAGATTAAGTGAAATTTGCATGCTTCTGTGTTGTATGTCTTCCATGCATATGAAGCGTGCAACAACATGGCTTCCTTTACAGGGCAAGCACAAGGTGGCTGACTGACATGAAGATCTACATATTTAATTCTATCTCGCTGTGAAGACCTACAAAATTAATTCTCTTTAATTCTGTTCTCCTCTGAAGTCCTAGAACTTGTTTGATTAATGATTGTTCAGCAGTGCTAAATGTTTAGGAGTCTAATTTTATGGTATGGTGAGTTTTTTTCTAATTTTGTTAGAATCATGAACGGATATGATTCTTTGAGTTACAAATTTCAAGAGAAAGACCTACCATGCATAATCCTTAATTGACCAGTTTGATTTAAGAAGTGAGAAAAAAGTTGAGTACAAACCTTGCACTTTTTGGTCCTACAGATTGGTCTTTGTAAGATGAACTGGCGGTAATAGCAGTATCTGGGATCCGCCAGGATTCCATTCCTAGGGCATTTGAACATTTTACTGAAAAACACAAATAAATGAAGATTTAATGACATAAGTAAAGAAAAAATGTAAAAACAAAATAATTCATATCATACACAGAAGCCATGTTTTTAGTGGATCATACAACACTCGATCTACATTCACTGCAGTCAAGAACAGAGAGAGAATGACAGAAAGGAAGATGGAGGAATAGAAGAAAAATCTACCAGGTGGTGATTATAACAATAAGCACCACTATCAATTACTGCGTGACAACAACCAACATTAATCCACATACAAACATTCTTAGTGCTATCTGTATCTCTTACATGTTCATTTTTGTACTCATCCTTCCTTTTTCCCCGTTTTCTGTCATCATTTAAGAAATATCAGCATGTATCAGATTAAATCTCATTGAATTAAATTCTTCCTAAATGTCACCTCTGATGAGGACCAGTATAAAAATGAATGTAGACAGAAGTCTATCAGTAAGTATATTGGAGAAAGGAGAAAAATAATGAAGTTCTCCCGAAGAAACAAGAATTTTCAAGTATAAACAGATAAACAGGGACATTTACATCTCACAGTCGGCCATGCCTGCTAACCATCTCGGAGAAACCAATTGAAAAAGACCAGCTGGTGTGTTACAGCATATAATGATGACAACTTCTATCTACCTTGTTATGATTCCATGTCTAGATAGACACTGCAGAGCTTTCTATCTTTACGAAACTGTAAATTTTAAAATGCTACTTTAGAATTCCTTTCGGCTACATAATCTGTTACAGGGCAGATAAAATACACGTAGAAATCTGGTATTATCTAGGCCTACAACACTAACAAATTTGTCTGTTTAACGTCAGACAGGCATTAACTTGGGGAATATTTTATGCCCCAACTTTTTCGCTCTTGAGATCATGAGAAGTGAGGTAGTAGAGTCTACATTACAGAGAAGGATATAAACTGGAATGGAGAGGAAATTTAACTTTGACAATACACAGAAATGGAGATGAAATTTAACTTCAACCATACAAAGGAATGGAGAGAACTTAACTTCAACCATACAGAGGAATGGAGAAGAAATTTAACTTCAACAATACACAGAAATGGAGAGGAAACTTAACTTCAACTATACAAACAGGGATTGAGAGGAAATTCTATGCACAACCTTTTTTTTATTCAAATTATACCCTTGTGGTTTGTTAACTTTATTGCAATCAAGAAATTATCAAACTCATATTTGTAATGAAAGCTTAAAGTCAAGTACAGAATGTGGAAGGGAAAATGTTGAAAGGTGATGACCAGGTTTCTTTATCTTTAATAATTTTGAAACAAGATCCTAGCTGACCAGAGAATATAAGCTGACTGATCTTAAGGCTAGGCTGAGAGCTGCAGAGCTTACTGGGTACAGAACAGGTCTAGTTACTGCAGCTGTTGGTACAGTTTAGAACATTCTCAATATTTGGTAGATAGTACCAGTGATGTAAGATGTATTTAGGTATTACAGATAATATCACAAAACACATAATACGTTAGGTATCTCCAAATTCCTCCAGCTTCCTCTCCACTTGATGGGATGAAATCACAATCTAAAACACACTATCAGGCACCTACCATTTTTTCTCCTCAATTCTCCACAGGAAGTCAATCTTTGAAATTAATTCCCACAAGTTTGGTGTTTATCCTAAACCTGTGATGTAGTTTGTTATAAAGCATGGATACCTTTGGGAATCACATTTTTCAGGTATTTACTGAAACCTCTAATATCAACTGTACTGGGATAGCAGTGAGTATACAGATTATACCCTTAACCCCTCTTTAATCCAGTTTCTATATTTTTATACCTGGAGTGAAGAGATCTTGGGTCATTCCAACAACACAGTACATCAATCCAGACTTGACAGATTTCATTTCTAGATTTATTAAACATATAATATTTACATAGGATTATGTGAAGTTAATATAGGCAGCAAGTGAAGAAATTTACATGAATTTGTCTGCTGAAAATTGTCCCAAACAAAATTTCAATACTTTTACAAAAAACAAAATTCTCACCTTAAGTAAAGATAAGTATTATTTCATTTCCTTTTCTATATTCATGTAACATTCTATAATTTTCTGTTTTTAGGTTTTGAAGTGAGATTTCAATAAAAATGACCTTTTGATAAGAAATTAAATTACAGCCATGATCGACAACAGTGTTATCTCCCTTTTAATATCAACCTGGAACATTGACTGATAATCACCAAATTCAAACTAAATAGATTAAAATTTTCCTGACACAAATACTATGTAGATAGCCCCAGTAAAACCTTATTCAGTAGGTCATGTTAGATGGCTGTTGTTTGTAAGTCATTCTCAACTTTATTATTGGTTCAGTGCCTCAAATTAACAATGATTAAGAACAGATGGCATCACTGTTCAGCTATTTTTTTTCTCTATTTTTAATTTTTTTTTACTTGACTCATGAAAACAATAATTTTCTCTCAAGCATCCAGTTTTGGCTGTTGAAGCTAGAATTACCAGAATTGGCCAGTGAGATCAAATTAACCAACAGTCGTTGTTAGCATCTTTTTGCAGACATTTCCAGATCTGTTATTAGCAGCTAAAAAGCCAGGATTATACGAACATCGATGGACACCAATTATTAGATCGTAGAACAAAAATGGTTTCCTGTATTTTTCCAATGGCCACTAATTCAGTTTTGTTTAAAGACAGTTGCTGTAGTTGAATCTTAATTGCCTTGAATCATACGATTTGGCAGCACAAATCTTTCCTGTTCTAGTGGCACTCTGTGATTACATCTAGGAGAGAAAAATACTGTGCATCATTTTACCAAACACTTGAATACGTGCAGTCTACAATATATGCTACACAATTTCATTAAAAAAAAAAAAAATCTTCCAACAGGTATTGAGTGAAATTGTTTTCAGAAAATTGAAACAAAGTTTAACAATACCGAGAGTATGATTCACCTACCGTTCTAGAGTTAAATTAACAATGAGTAATTAAATGGATGACTTTATTGTTGTTTTAATTTTTTACAATGTTCTCAAGCTTTTTTCATTTCTCATTTTATTTGTAGATTGAATCACAAATATGGTGGAAAAATGGAGACAAACATGGGATGTAACTTATCAGTAGATGGTAATATTGTAACTGTAGTGACATGCACAATCAGACCACATCTAAAATACAGTAGTACAGCATTTTATTTCTACTCTTAAAACCCCCCACAAAAAATATGACTAAGACTTCCACATAAAGATCTCACTGTCAGAGCTCATTAAGGAGCCTACCTCTCCATTGTTTAAAGTGATGCATGCTTATCTTAAAATAGTATCAATGTACTACAATTTCCAATTAAACTTTGTCAAAGTTATCACTTGTGTTGTAATTAGACACTATCACTCCCTGTATTAATGTGTCTTTTTAATGAAAATTAAGTGGTAGCCCCATAGGACATATGACTAAGATCAACATTGTAAAAAGGTAGGAAAATGGAAGATTTTGGGACACCAAATAGTCACAAATTGTCATAAATTTTCAAATTTTTTTTATTGACCATAAAAAGGGACATATTGTATATAAAAGAGAGGAAAAACACATTTATCATGAATGGCGTGTGGCAGCCATCTTGAATTTTTGTACATGATTTGGCCCATTCATAGAGACACATAACACACTATGGATCATTAACTTTGTAAGGTAGCACACAGCCACCCCATAATCTCCAGAAAATTGAAATCACTCATATGATAAAAATCTACATGCAATTTTACGATTTATCACCCCCTTCCCATCATCCATCATCCCCAGGTGTTACTCAACAGGGAACTTTCACCAACTTAAAATTCACTAAAATTGAACAATTTTACGAGCTCAACATGACTTTATTTGGTGATAAGTGTGTTTACCTGCCTATAAATGATAATGTTTGTTGAAACAAGATTTTTATCTACTTCTGAAAGAATACAGCCGTTCCCGTCTAACAGGAATGGTGGCCATTTGAGCTGTTGACAACCATGACAACCTTAACTTTAGAGCTGGGCTGTGAGGCGTGCACCGATAAAAAACCACAAACCAAACAACCAAGTCCCATTCACAGGTGATCAGAATTCATCACCATTTTCGATTAGTTTGTGAATCATTCCAGATGAATGGAAATTCTAAATTCAGGATATAAATTTTTCAGTGATTTGTTTTACATTTCAAGTTTCTGTGACCAATATTTTTTTATTTAATCTACTTAAATATTTTAATTTATATCAATAATACATTTTACGTTATATAAATAAATGATAACCCAAAGCTGTCCCCTACACTGTTATTCTTATGCCGATATTAATGTATGCTGGCATCCATGGCTCTTTAACTTTTGTCCTTGGTGTATGATCATGAATTCAGAAAACACAAAATTTAACACCAAATACATTTGGTTCTTGATGATGGTTACTGAATATTTCATCAATGTTCAGCTATATAGTACTGTATTATAGAATAGTTCAGAAAAACAATGAATGATGCCTGGGTCTACAGCATCAGTACGCAGATGGCCATGAATTTTAATACAACAAAATTTCAAACATCTGAAAGAATTTGAGATTTTAAATTCTTTTAATTAGAATACATCAGATAACATTTACACTAAAAGTCGAAACAGAATATAACAATTACAGTAACAAAGTCTGAGAATAATAAAGAATTATGAAATAGAGTATTATCACACTTTAAATCATTTTCCTTTGTTTCCATATGTAACATATTGATGAAACAAGATAAAGTTTTGACAAAATCTGGGTGTTAATTTTAATGTCCACTGTGTACATCCATTTATGGGGCAAAATCATACAGGATAGAAGAGATAATGTTGAACCATCCCAGGGAATATGATGTGTCCTCTGTAGTAGTGGACATTTGACCAGTGGTCAGATACAATCTACAATTCTGATAATCATGCTGATCACTTCATCCTTTTGAAGTTGTCTGACCACTCCCACACTGTGGTCAGGTAAGTCCCTATTTCCTTTGTTGTCCAC